TTCAGCTCTGAGAGCTGAAGAAGCTTCTTGGACGAGAAATGAAACGTCTTCAAAAAAACAAACAAACCCAGAAAGTCCAGTTGCTTCTTGAAAAAGCACTTTTGGGACATCCTTAATTCCAGGTTGCTTCTCTCCTTGATAGAAAAAGAAGAATATAACTTTATTACAGTCTTAGACCAGCAACAGACATCACTATTTACAATACATTAAAAAATAATACTGACACATTATAATACATTAATAGTGGATAAAAACATCGCTGTTAAGAAAGTACATGCTCTCAAACAGTTAGTGCCACTCCCTGGTTTATATGAGTGGAGAGCCAATAAGTATGTGTGTAAATATCATTTTCCAAAGATTGTTCTATCTCTAAAAATTGGTACAAATTCACAGCTATAATTCTGTAACCAATTTTTTTTTCTTGTAGACATTGCAGCAACGCCTCTCCTTGACTGGTTTCCACCTGTTGCTTCTTGTCCTGCCCTCAGGGGCTTTGGAGAATAGACTGACCCCCATCTTCTTTGCTGAACCCCTCAAGTATTTAGTGACCATTTGAAGTCATGACACTGAGAAAAGTGACTTATGCCCGTTTTCCACACTTAACCATTGTGGCATTCCCAGGATCCCATAACCCAAAGCTGAGATATGCTTGGCAGCTGACTCACAATTGTGACACCCCTCAAGTATTGGAAGACTGCTATCATATCATAGACTGCTCACCCTTCTCTTCCCTAGGCCAGACACACCCGGCTCCTTTTTAAAGATTGACATTTCTTCCTAAATCAAAAGAGCCACCTCTTTAGCCAACAAACCCCAACAGTTTCCAGGCAATCAATTGCTCCATCAGAAGCCAGACCAATGTTTAATTTGCCTGAAAGACAATGGGGTTGAAAGGGGGGGTTTAATATTTTATTTTAGGCCCCAGGCGATGTGCTAAGCAGGAATAATTCAGCAAACAGAAGATAATCAGTTGATAAATGACAATAATAGCGCCTGGGATCAGAGAGACAAGCTGCCAGGTCCCTCCTCTTTGAAGCAGGAAATAATTAAATATAAACCTTGAGACTGTCTCCTTCGTGACTCCTCCAGTCACCTGATGTGAAACCAACACACACAAAGGCAAATAAATGAAATGTCCTGACGCCATTTCCTTCCTAGATACCTAAGCGGCTCTGCTACCCTGCAGTGTCATTCCCATAACATGTAAAACAGAGGAGTCCTCAACTTTACAGACCACAACTGGGCCGCACATTTAGGCTGCTAAGCGAGATGAGACGTTGGTTATGACCTTTCTTGTTAAAGTACATTGCTGCAGTGGTTCAGATAGTGGCCCGGTTGGTAAGCGGATCTGTTGCAAAAGGGGAATCGTGTGATCCTGGGACTCTACACAACTGTCACAATTGTGAGTCAACTGCCAAGCATATTTCAGCTTTGGGTTATGGGATCCTGGGAATGCCACAATGGTTAAGTGTGGAAAACGGGCATAAGTCACTTTTCTCAGTGTCATAACTTCAAATGGTCACTAAATGAAGTGTTGTAAGTGGAGGAGTACCTGTATTTCTCCATTCTACTGGTTGGATGCTTTCAGTATTATTTATTATTATTACTATTATTATTAATGCTTTTATGCATTAAACATGAAACTCAGTCAAGTGAAGATTTAAAAGTGTATCAAAAATATCATTTTGACTGAGTTTCATGTTTAATGAATAAAAGAGATTATTATTGTTATTATCATTATTGTTATTATTATTATTTCTCTTGCTTTTGCAAGTACATTGAGCACTTCTGTGTCCAACCCCATTTGGCCAAAAAAGTATTCTAATTTAATATTATTCTTACAGTACTCCACATCTTTCCTTGAGCTGGGAATTCAATCAATCAGAACAGAGCTGGAAGGCTTTTGAATTCCTAGGTGTAGGACTGAGCACTATCCTAGTGAAGTTATGGCTAGATGGAGGTTGCCTGTTGAACTTCTACTTCTCACACTGCTGTAATGGTGTGTATGTGTGTGTTTACACTTATCCAGAAGGTCAAATGATTGCCACCTCCTCGTGTCAGTATCCCACACCTATCACTCCTGGCTGGTCTTTCCATATTTCTCTTGTTTTATCTCCCTTCCTTTGTTGGTTGACCTGAGAAGTCATGTGCAAAGCTAACCTTTCACCCTTCTTATCCATAAAGGATCCCCATTGTGACAAGCTGTGGTTAAGGCCCCCTCCCTGGTCTCTGAGGAGCAGTTGTTGTTGGTTCAGTCACAGTTGTGTCCAACTCTTCATGACCTCATGGACCATAGCACACCAGGCCCCCCTGTTCTCCACTATCTCCAAGAGTTTGCCCAAACTCGTGCTCATTGCATCAATGACACCATCGAACCATCTCATCCTCTGCTGTCGCCTTCTCCTTTCGCCTTCCATCTCTCCCAACATCGGGGTCTCTTCTCCAAGGAGTCCTCTTCTTCTCATTCGGTGGCCAAAGTATTTGAGCTTCAGCTTCAGGATCTTCTCTTTCCAAAGAAGGGTTGGTTTCCTTTAGGATGGATTGACTGGATCCCCTCACAGTCCAAGGGACTCTCAGGAATCTTCTCCTACACCCCAGTTTGAAAGCACCGAAATGCAGAGCCCCTCTACATGGTTGAATGGTCCTTATGCAAGTTGTAGGGTAGCAGTAGATAGTAATATAGTTGAAGATGGTTTTCATCATTGTTGACTTTCACACTTTTTAGTGAAGGTGAGGTTTGTGGAACTGGGGTGAAGTTGGGAGAGAAATCCCACTTATACATTTATTTCTTTTCCTAGATTTATAAGCCCCCTTTCCAATTCTGAATGGCGTATGATTCCCCATTCATAAACAGATTGAACCATTCATGAGCAATGTTTTTAAATGAGCTGTAAAAAGATAAAATGAAACCCAGAGGCTTCTGGCTTCTGAGACTTGCTAAAACAGTCCAGCCTTTTCAGAACTCCTAAAGCCATGAAGGACCTTTTGAAGGTCTACATGTGGCTCTGTGGCTAAGACACTGAGCTTGTTGATCAGAGAAGGTTGGCAGTTCGGTAGTTCGAATCCCTAGCACTTGCATTACAAAGTGAACTCCCGTTACTTGTCACAACTTCTGCCAACCTAGCAGTTCGAAAGCATGTAAAAAATGCAAGTAGGAAAATAGGGACCACTTTGGTGGGAAGAAGGTAACAGCGTTCCGTGCTCCTTCAGCATTTAGTCCTGCTGGCCAAATGACCTCGGAGACGTCTTTGGACAGCGCTGGCTCTTCGGCTTTGTAACGGAGATGAGCAACGCCCCCTATAGCCCTAAACGACTAGCATGGATGTGCAAGATGAAACTTTACCTTTACCTATGTTTTCTGATGTTTCAACTTTCCTTTCCAAGCACTCCAAACAAACCAGAATCACTAATTCTGGAATTACAAATAAATACATTAATATATATTTTAATATATATAAGCTTATTATATTAATATATATAAGCTTATATATATATATATATAAGAGAAGCTTATATAAGAGAAGCTAGTTGTTCAAAGTGCCAAGGCTTCAAATGTAGTTCCATATTCCTAAAAAGAACTAATAATCTTGAAACTATTTAGAAAGAAATTGTTTCTTTCTCTTTCACGGTTCCCATGCTTACCTCTCACAGTATTCCAGGATCATTTAATTTTCAAAGAAAACCTCCTTTGACTGACACAGATGATCCAATTTTCTGTATTTTGCAATCAATTAAAAAAAAGGCATTAAGAATCTATCTTGGATTAGAATAATCCAGGGATGTTAGGCAGGGACAGGTAATTTATCTTAAGGATTTGGCATAAAGAAAAATGTAAAGAAAGGAAGGAAAGAAGAAGAAGAAAGAAAGAAGTGCAGGAGAAGAAGAAAAAGCATAAACTTACAAAATATGACTTCCAACTTTCTCTTTGATATTAATAAGCCTATTATCTCCTCACCCTCTTAGCTTTTCCAAGAGCCTTCAACCCCTGGTTTAATTCTTATCTGAAATCCATAAATCGTCATTTCAGTTTTTTCTTCCTTTAGCAAAAAGTCCATAAAATGTTTCCAGTTATTATTATGGTCCGTCACATGTTCAGACTGGATTTTTTTTATCTACTTATCAAGTCCTTCCTAAGGACCTGGGAAAGGCAGAGATTGATGGTTGATGGTGTTAAAGATATTATCGCAGGATAGAAGCTGTTCCAAATAAAGCCACTTTTTGCAATTACCTGATGGTGAATTGTCTATTATTATTGTTGATGATGATTTAATCTTCAATTCAATCTGGGACTGGTAAAAATGTAACAGTTCAAGCTGTTCAAACCAAGGACTTAAAAGAGCTGTTAAGATAACATTTGAGTATATAGGCAGTTCTGAGTAATGTGAGTGTTTGTTTTTTGCAAAGTCTAATATCATTATTATTATTATCAAATTTATTTCCCCCCTATCTCACAATCAAGGCAACACTGAGTGGTTTAGAATAGAGAATAACAGAGTTGGAAGGGACCTTGGAGGTCTTCTAGTCCAACTCCCTGCTCAAACAGGAAATCCTACACCATTCTAGACCAATAGAAAATAAGAGAAACTATACAAATCTCCAAGCATGTATAAATATGAAAACAGATTAAAATTGCAAAAATGGTTGGGGAGCCCCAATCCCTCAATTCTGCCAAACAATCTTCCCGGCTTCCCAGTTTGGCGACATCAGATTGTTTTTTTACTATCGTGATTTCATAACTGCTGGATGGAAAATGGTAAAGATGCAGGTAACAATGGTCTGCCAGAATTAAAAATACAGCGTTGGATGTGCTTTATACGTTGGCCTGTATATTGCATGGCTTGGAAATGAACTCAGATCTTTTTTTTTAAAAAAAAGATGTAGATAACATCCCCAACCTTTTCTCAAAAAATGCATGTATTTGACAGCTCTAAGGGCTATTCACCAAATAACTGATAGGCAAACTCCTTAAGCCTTGGAAATTTATTTTCAACCAATATCAGTCCTTGTACTGCAGATAAAACATGTCCATTAAAGCTGACATTACAAACATGTAAAGGGCCACATTCATACTACTGGGTTGATTTTTTCCCACTGGGGTTTGTTTTTCAGGCAACATCAAAGAGCAAGGGATCCCGACTCATTCTAAACTATAAAATCCATGATTGTGTAAGATTTCATGGATTACAAACCAGTTATGAAAGGCGGTACATGATGAAATCTTACATTACAATATATTTGTTAGCTTTTAGGGCAGTGGTCACCAACCAGTGGGCTGGGGACTACTGGCGGTCCATAAGAAAATGTTGGTGGTCCACAGAGAAACGTCACCCCCAAAGCAATTAATCCAGGCTGCGCAGGAACACAAGGCTTGCATCTCTTGCACTGCAAACAACACAAGGTAGTGAGGAGAGAGGGGAAAGGGCGGAGGGGGGGAACTTGCCCCATTCACCCCATGCACCTGGCCTGGCCACCAGGGCTGCTTCTTTCCTCTTCTTTCTTCTTCTGCTTTTGACTGCACACAAGGAAAGCAGCCAAAGTCTTTCTTTCTCTCCCCCAAACTCCACCAGAAATGAGTCTTTGGGACCCTGCAAGGCCTCCTGCTCCAAGAGGCTGCACTGGCAAAGACTCATTTCTGGCGGAGTTTGGGGGAGAGAAAGAAAGACTTCTGCTGCTTCTGCTGCTTTCCTTGCACGAAGCCAAAAGTCAGTCAGTCTCTCTCTGTCTCTCTCTGTCTCTCTCTGTCTCTGTCTCTGTCTCTGTCTCTCTCTCTCTCTCTCTCTCTCTCTCCCTGAAAACGGAGCTGGAGATGGTATCCTGCGAACCCAAATAAAGAACAATCAATCGGTAGGAAAACGGGGTGGGGAATTTTCCTGTAGACTTTTTTGGGGATTTTCCCAGGGTCTCTGGTCTGCAGGATTTAAAATGATGAGTTTGGTGGTCCCTGAGGTCCAAAAGGTTGACGACCCCTGCTTTAGGGAGCTGCGGGACTCCTAATTTATATATAGAAATCTGTAATGGATTTGAACTCTTGATTCCCTAATGTTAGGTTGAAGAATTCTACTAAACGAACATTAGCAAAATATAGACAGTAATCTTTTACTATAATCACAATGGGAACTTGGCCCCTTTAGTAGGACTAATTTACTAGTGTGTGTGTTTATTTGTTTGGAAAAGCAATACGCCTAAAGGTCTAGGGGAAATTTATTTTAAAAGTAAAACCACTCCACTGGTGATAGCAGGAAAATTGACCATTATTTTGACCAGCTCTTTAAAATAGACATTGTTATAGAACATAGAATATTATATAGCCAAAGGAGATTTTCCTTTTCCTTCATATATCTGTGACTGTACCTATCCAGGTCATGGTTGTCCCAAAGCTGCTTTTTCAAGAGGCAATTGGACTTTCTTGTTTTTTCTTTTTCTTTTGAAGACGTTTCACTTCTCATCCAAGAAGCTTTTTCAGTTCTGACAGGACAGTGGGGAATGGAAGGATTTATACAATATGCGATGGACACCCTTGGAAGGGTGTGAGAGTAGGAATGGTTTTCCAGAGGGAAAAATTGCAGACTACAGGAACCATTTACACTACCCTGGTGATCCTGAGGACACAGATAAACCTCCAAGTGGCCTCAACGACCCTTTAAAATGATGCAAATGACCAACTGTCTGCAAGGAGTATAAATCCTTCCATTCCCCACCATCTAGTCGGAGTTGAAGAAGCTTCTTGGGTGAGAAGCAAAATGTCCTCAAAGAAAAACAGGAAAGTCCAGTTGCCTCTTGAAAAAGCACCTTTAGGACAACCATGACCTGGAGGATTGAGAATCTCCACAGATACTCCCAGAGGAATTCCTTCTTCCTTTGGTCCTATCTCTTAGGGTAAAGAGAGCTGGAATTTTGGAAGGGCAAAATGCAAAGAATAGCATTTAGGAAAGAAACTACATGAACTCTACATAAGGAAAGACCCTGTGTGGCATATTTCCACTTTGGATGTGGTAGAGAATCTATTACAGAAGTATCAGAAATATATTTCATTGCTTTGTGGTCAAATCCATCCATCCTTCCTCCCTCTCTCCCTCCCTCCCTCCCTTTCTCCCTCCCTTCCTTCCCCCCAACTTTGTTTCTCCCTCCCTCCCCCCTCCCTATCCTCCCTCCCTCCCTCCTACCCTCCTTTTCCTCCCTCCCTCCCTCTCTCAGAGGCAGAGTCTACAACCCACACAAGTGGCTCAGGTAGTGCAGCTCATCCAGGATGGTACATCAATGTGAGCTGTGGCAAGAAGGTTTGCTGTGTCTGTCAGCATAGTGTCCAGAGCATGGAGGCGCAACCAGGAGACAGGCCAGTACATCAGGAGACGTGGAGGAGGCCGTAGAGGGCAACAACCCAGCATCAGGACCGCTACCTCCGCCGTTGTGCAAGGAGGGACAGGAGGAGCACTGCCAGAGCCCTGCAAAATGACCTCCAGCGGGCCACAAATGTGCATGTGGATGCTCTAACGGTCAGAAACAGACTCCATGAGGGTGGTATGAGGGCCCGACATCCACAGGTGGGGGTTGTGCTTACAGCCCAACACCATGCAGGACATTTGGCATTTGCCAGAGAACACCAAGATTGGCAAATTCGCCACTGGCACCCTGTGCTCTTCACAGATGAAAGCAGGTTCACACTGAGCACATGTGACAGACGTGACAGGGTCTGGAGACGCCGTGGAGAACATTCTGCTGCCTGCAACATCCTCCAGCATGACCATTTTGGCAGTGGGTCAGTAATGGTGTGGGGTGGCATTTCTTTAGGGGGCCGCACAGCCCTCCATGTGCTCACCAGAGGTAGCCTGACTGCCATTAGGTACCAAGATGAGATCATCAGACCCCTTGTGAGACCATATGCTGGTGCGATTGGCCCTGGGTTCCTCCTAATGCAAGACAATGCATTGGCTGGAGTGTGTCAGCAGTGGCTGGAGTGTGTCATGTGGCTGGAGTGTGTCAGCAGTTCCTGCAAGACGAAGGCATTGATGCTATGGACTGGCCCGCCTGTTCCCCAGACCTGAATCCAATTGAGCACATCTGGGACATCATGTCTCGCTCCATCCACCAACGCCACATTGCACCACAGACTGTCCAGGAGTTGGGGGATGCTTTAGTCCAGGTGTGGGAGGAGGTCCCTCAGGAGACCATCCGCCACCTCATCAGGAGCATGCCCAGGCATTGTAGGGAGGTCAAACAGGCATGTGGAGGCCACACACACTACTGAGCCTCATTTTGACTTGTTTTAAGGACCTTACATCAAAGTTGGATCAGCCTATAGTGTTTTTTTCCACTTTAATTTTGAGTGTAACTCCAAATCCAGACATCCATGGGTTGCTAAATTTGATTTCCATTGATAATTTTTGTGTGATTTTGTTGTCAGCACATTCGACTATGTAATGAACAAAGTATTTGATAAGAATATTTCATTCATTCAGCTCTAGGATGTCTTATTTTTGTGTTCCCTTTATTTTTTTGAGCAGTGTATATTTGTGTTATATAGTAAATAGGGAGATGGTATTAGGGTAGATTGAAGGTGGCTGGCTCAAATTATTAACCAGAGGGGACAATTTTGAATTAAAATAGGATTGATAAAATTGCAAATATGACAGAAAAAGATAATGTGGGAAATGAACATAGAAATGAGATGAGAATTTTAAATAATATTGTAAAGTAAGATATGAGAATATCCTAAGAAAAATGAAATAAGTTATAATATGAATTGGAATTGGATAAGTGTAATATTTAATACTAATAAGGTTAATGTGGTATGAAACTAAACAAATATAATGAATAGGTAACTATGGTCATGTCTGTATTGAGATGTGAAACCGGGAACCACACTGCTTGCCAAATGAGAATTTTTTATTTAAAAAAAAAAAAATGAGGAGGAAATTGAATAATGAAATTACTAGGTGTGTTTAACTGATATGGTGGTTGGCACTAGGAGAGAGTATTGAAAATGAGCAATGAAGGATTTTGATTTAAAGTGAATATGTGTATTAAGAGATATGATTGGTATTATTAAATTTGTCTACACAAAAATGTATGGTATATTGATGCCACACTGTTATTGTATCGTTGTGTATATGTAGATTGAAATAAAAAAAAACTTTTGAGGGAAAAAAAATGTTGGGCTCCATTCTGGTTATATGTTGAGGATGACCTCCAGCCTTTAGAAGGAGCGTGCATTTTTAAAGGAAAAGGGTTTTTGTTTTTGTTTGTTTTTCCATTGAAAAGCTTTTAACCAAGAAGCATGGGAAGAACTGGTTGGAATTGGAGATCCTTCGGCCAAGAAATTAAAAGACACTTGCTCCTGGGGAGGAAAGCTATGGCAAACCTAGACAGCACACTAAAAAGCAGAGACATCACCCTGCCAACAAAAGTGCATAGAGTCAAGGCTATGGTTTTCCCAGTTGCAATGTAGGGCTGTGAAAGTTGGACCATAAGAAAGGCTGAGTGCCAAAGAATGGAGGCCTTTGAACTCTGGTGCTGGAGAAGACTCCTGCGAGTCCCTTGGACTGCAAGGTGATCAAACCGGTCTGTCCTAGAGGAGATCAACCCTGACTGCTCTTTAGAAGGCCAGATCCTGAAGATGAAACTCAAAATACTTTGCCCACCTAGTGAGAAGGAAGGTCTCACTGGAGAAGAGCCGAACGCTGCATGAGTTTAAATGGACTCCAGAGGATGGTAGAGGATAGGAAGGAACATTGTCCATGGGACCACGATGGGTCAGACACGATTTTGCTACTAACAACAACAACCATTCCTGTTCTTAAAAGTGTTGGAAAATGCTTCCCAGCTAAACCAAAGGAAAATAAATGTGATCTTTCCAAGGAACCTGTGTCCCCCCCACCCACCCCACCCTTTAAAATTGCTCAGAGAGGCTCTTTGTAAAAAGCTGATAAGAAGGCAGCTGATTGCTGAGGTCTGGCAGACGAACAGAACAATCAAATTAAAAGGTGTTAAAATCATTCCTTCACCCTTAAGAGCCACTTCAGCTTGGGGAGGAGAAAGAAATGGAATAACTATTGTCTCAGTTGATCCCTTGTACAAACCCCTATCAGTGAGGCTAAATAATCTGTGGTTGTTAATCTGGCCAGGTTGTGTGTTTATATATCTGACTGCCTTTGCATGCCCCTGTGTGTGTCTAAAACTGGTGGAAACTTATAATTCAGATCCTAATCTGGGACCTTGGAATGATTAAGCTCTAGTCTGACTTTCCTTCCATTCCCCCCACCATCCAGTCACAACAGATGAAACTACTACTACTACTACTACTACTACTACTACTACTACTACTACTACTACTACTACTCCTTCCTCCTCCTCTTCCTCCTCTCTGCAAATCCTTCTCCTTTCTAGCACTGATGATGTTACCTAGTTGGGTCATGAAATGTCTGCAAGAAAACCACCAAGCTTAAAGAGCACCAAGGAGCCCACAGTCCTCCTTCTCCTCAAGGAAAAACAGTCCAGCTGCCTTTTGAGGGGAAAAAAAGAGCATCTTTGAGACAACTATAAGCTGGATGACTGAGAATCTCCACAGACAGGTACATTATAAATAAGCTGAAGAAGCTTCTGGGATGAGAAGTGAAATATTTTCAAGGGGGGAAAAAACCCCAAGAAATTTATAAAACCTGAGTAAGACCACATGCAGAATACTGCATCCAGTTTTAGTCACCACACTATAAAAAAAGACGTTGATACTCCAGATCAAGGGTCTTCAAACTTGGTAAGTTTAAGATTTGTGGACTTCAACTCCCAGAATTCCTGAGCTAACATGACTGGAAGAAGAATTCTGGGAGTTGAAGTCCACAAGTCTTAAAGCTGTCAAGTTTGAAGACCCCTGCCGTAGTAAGAGTGCAGAGAAGAGCAACCAGGAGGATTGAGGGACTGGAGGCTAAAACATATAATGAACAGTTGCAGGAACTGGGCCTGGCTAGTCTAGGGAAGAGAAGGACCAGGGGAGACAGGATAGCAGTCTTCCAATACTTGAGGGGCTGCCACAGGGAGGAGGAATGGGTCAAGCTATTTTCTAAGGCACCCGAAGGCCAGACAAGGAATAATGGATGAGAGCTGAACAAGGAGAGATTCAACATGGAAACAAGGAAAAACTTTCTGACAGTGAGAACAATGAACTAGTGGAACAGAAGTTGCCTTTGGAAGTTGTGGGAGTTTCATCACTGGAAGCTTCCAAGAAGAGACTGGACTGCCATCGGTCAGAAATGGTGTAGGGTCTCCTGCTTGGGCGGGAGGGGGGTTGGACCAGATGACCTACAAGGTCCCTTCCAACTCTGTTAATCTGTTAACCTCAAGCAATAGGCAAGAAGGCAGGTCAGCTTGCTCAGTGGCCTTGAGAAATTCAGCATTGAGAGATTATGAGATTCCCCCCACCTCCCCAGGAGCTGGGCCTTCTGGAAGCTACTGATATCATTCTTTTCCAGGAATGATACAAGGAGACTAAGAACTCCTTTGAACGCAGCTGAGACATCCTTCCACAAAGGTGCTCAGTTTATTTAAAGGAACATTTCTTCACCATCCACCACTACTTGTCCTGAACAGTGGGGGCCAATCAGTCAAAAGGGCGCCGGAATACCATGTAAATAGATTCACCGTCATTTTTTAAGCCGCCTCTGTGTGGGTTGGGCGGCTGTATA